ACAACAAAATGAAGAAACATGGGTTTTTTCATACATTTCGGGTCTCCTGGGTTTCGCCATATCGCGTCCTTTCAGGCCTGCCTTCAAGAACACCGGTACAAGCCATCTGATCATACTAAACGTGACTGCGAATGCGATACCGCTAAACGCGAGCGAAGCTACCAAGGGCGCACCATCGCCTTGGAAGGTATTCAGAAGGATGCCGACGCAGGCTCCCACCAAGGCGAAGAGCCGCCAGGTCTCCTGGCGAGAAAGAGAGCTTGAATTTGCTGCTGCCATCGCGCAAATGGTTCGGTATGAGCCTATCTCCAAGGCCTCATGCTAAGTAGACTTTCACTTCCATCAGGACGCGTAATCTCCCTGGCGCTGGAGAAAGGCAAGGTGGCATCAAGAAGCAAGTGGAGCAATTGGGGAAGGAGCTCTATTCTGCCGGCACATGGGTGACCGCCATTCTTTGTCTAGGCGGTGAAGGCCAGCTCCGACCGGCATCGGGCGTGACTGTCTTACCTAAGCTGCCTGAAGCTATCGCATCCCGGCGCTTTCATATGCACGCCTTGCTTGGTTTCTATAGGCGATTGCAAGGCCGTATCTACATAGATCAGGGGAAGGCTTCAACCCCCTACCTCTTAGGTTTCTGCAGCTGATCTTCGACGCGTCTTTGAATGTTTGTTCCCTGAAGGTGGTGGCTAAAGGCTGGTTGCTGTGCACTCTGATTGATTGGTTTGATCGTCTCGTCTCTGATTGGGGATACCGCACACGCCCACTATGGCTGGATTTGCCGACTTTGACGCCGGTCATCGAGACCTAGTCTCGGTCACCAAATTCAATTTTTACGGCAATCGCATTGTCACGGCTTCAACTGATCACCGCATGAAGGTCTGGGACCAGAAAGACGGTGAATGGCAGCTCGTAGATACTTGGCGTGCCCATGACGCGGAGATCCGTGATGTAAGCACTCCCCACGGCAGTGGCCCCTTATTTCTTGGTATCTGGTCTGGTATCGTTCTGTTTTAACTGTTACTCAGGCGACCTGGAATGGCCCTTTCACGGGCCAGCACATTGGTAGCGTGGGCGAAGACATGAAATGCAAGATATGGCAGGAGGATGTTACGCAACCCCCCAATTCAGGCCGGCGTTTCAGGTCCATCTTTCGCATGACCGCCCCTCAGCGCCACCCATTTGTATCAATCGATTTTCGCAACATTGATCTGGAATCTTGGATGGCCGTTATTACTCGCGACGGCTACCTGATGATCATGGAGCCTGTAAGTCCCGACACTCTTGCGGACTGGCAGCCGTTAGATCAGTTTAGAGTCTGCACTGCTCCTCAGCGAGGAGAAGAAACAAGCTTCAAAGTGCAGTTCCATCATGATCCTTCGGACATCACGCATTCTGTATTGCCCTCTTCAGATCGCAAAAGTTTGTCGCTGGTGGTAGCCGCCATGGACAGCGTAAAGATCTATCGCACTGATGCAAGTCGACGTTTTTACCATGCCATCGAATTGACGGGACATGGTGGTCTTGTGAGAGACATCTCTTGGGCTAATGGGTCAGTGAGGGGATATGACCTCATTGCTAGTGGCTGCAAGGATGGCTTCATCCGGGTTTTCGAGGTATATACCACGGCCTCTGGCTCTGGGTCACAAACTTCAAATGGCAACCACGCACATTCTTCATCGCAGTCATCATCAATTCGTGCGACCACCCAGTCAGGTATCGGCTCTGCCCTTGCAAGCCGTGCTCCTGTGTCGATGTCCAGTCGTGCCGCGCCCGCAGATTCACAGTTCAAGCATTCGTTCAAGGAAATAGCATGCATTGACAGCAAGCACCTAGACGTGTGGCAAGTTGGCTTCTCATACGCTGGTTAGTAGCGGACCCCTTTCGCAGTGAAACGTCTCGAGAATCTGCCTTCGGTGCTAATCAGTCCCTACACAGGTGACTGCCTTATTTCCTCAGGCGACGATGGTATTGTACGATTCTGGAAGAAGTCCATCTCTGGAGAATGGCTCGAGTACGCTGAAACCGATATGGCTTGCCAATAGAACCAAAGTCACCTTGCTGCTGCATTGCTTGAAGTCCTGATTTCAACCTGGACTTAGCCTCTTCCGACTGTCTCTACGCACTGCAGGAGCCATACACCCTGACTCTTTCCCGATACGTGACGGGGCTTCCTTTGCTGCTCGTTTGGGTGATCATAGTGGTTTCAATTTGTTCGGACTGGCGTTTGTTGCGGTCTAGCTATGGGAAGATTAGATCTCGACTTGTTCACCTTGCAGTCATTCTTGCTCTGTTTGGCATACAATGATACCCATGGATTTCTGGCCTATCTGCCGTATAGTGTCGCAGTGCCTATCTGGTGTAAGATGACTTCTTGCTGCACGAAGCTTCCCCAGCCAACCTTCCGTTCCTTGTCGTTTGTCGGAAGAGGAAGGAGGTGCCCTCTCCTCCAATCCGGCAATCACGCCTGCTGCCTCGTCTTTCTCGGGAGAAACACCAGGACACTCGTAGGCTTCCTCGACATCCTCTACTTATCCTTCTATCCCTAACCACGTATCATGGCTCTTATTCCCACCTTTGGAACCGGCCTCTTCATTGGGGCCGGCCAAGCTCTGGCTGCCGGTGGTCCAGCATCATTACTTGGTTCATATGTACTGGTATTTTTCTTATCTTACTGCTTGACAACAGCCATTGCAGAGATTGCAGCCCACCGACCTGCACTCAACGGTACCATGGTGGCTCACAGCTATGAATATGGCTCCAGCCATCTGGGGTTTTCTTTAGGCTACCTCAGATGGTACTCCCTGGCAATGATGGTTCCCTTCGAGATCACCACTGCCATGGTCAATCTCAGTTTGTGGACTCCTGAGCCCAGCATGGCGATCCGAATTACAATGGTCGCGGTCCTGATCCTTCTATTCAATATGCTCCCCCAGCGGGCTTTCCAGCGAACTGAAACTATTTTCACGGGACTGAAGATCGTCACTACTGCGGGCCTGACAATTTGCTCGCTGTTCCTAGCAATTCGAGGTATCCCAGGAACACCAATACGAGGATTTCGATACTGGCACGAACCTGGACCCATGAACGAGTATCTCATCCCCGGCGGTGGGGGGCGGTTCCTTGGATTCCTACAATGCTTTCTATACAGCGTGATCTCTTTCACCTTCACTCCCGAAATAACTGTTCAGAGGGCTGAGCGTTCCAACACGGAAGGAGGTCCTAGCATCCTGAGCATGGCCCGAACGGACAGTGGCTATCTTTTTGCCCTCTACATTCTAAGCGCGTTCATGATGACCTTTGTTAGTCCATTTGATGAGCCTCTACTGACCAATTATGGCACGGGCGCCGGCACATCGCCCTTCGTCGTGGGCTTCGTTCGCGCGGGCATCCCGGCGTTACGGATCCTGGTGACCGTGTTGATATTCCTTTCATCGGTCGCCTCTGGGCGCTCTTTCCTCTACATATCCTCTCGCACACTCTACACCTTGGCCGAATCTGGACATGCTCCAGCAATGCTTACGAGATGCAACCGATATGACGTGCCTTATGTGGCCATACTGACATCTGCGCTATTCTCAATGTTTGCTTTCCTGTCGCTGGCTGAGTCCAGCTCGGCCCTTTTCAATTCACTTATGTACTTTATTACTACGTCCGGCTCCATCTCATGGCTCTGCTCGAGTATCATCTACCTTCGATTTCGGAGGAAGACCGAGGAACAGGGCTTTATTCGAGTCCACCAGTCCCGCGTCCAGCCCTACGGGGTATATGTTGGGATCCTAGGCTGCACCCTGCTGCCCATTGCCAATGCTCTCGTTCTTGCGTTTCCCCCACCATCATCCGAGGAACTCCCGGTTCAGTCCTGGTCACAACTGCGAATGAGAAACGCTATTCCTGTATACCTTGGGATCTTGTCATTCCTCTCGCTCTATTTCGGTCACCAAGCGAGAACTGCCATTACACAACGGAGACTGAAGTCGGAGGATGAGTTGACCAGTCGTCGAAGATGGTGGAGAATAATTTGGCCGAAGCGCATTGAACCGTCATCCAGTGCCCCCGTCTCGAGTCCCCCGGAGCCGTGAGAGAGCCTACTCACTTATTATCCCACGCTGAACCTACTTTGTACCTGCATTTTCCGCCTCAGGCAAATCTCTGGGTTGACTGTCGCGTTTCCTTCTAATATGATTCGTATTGATAGTGCACCGGGAGCCAGCCGCTTTTGCCATTATTGTTTTACAGTCTTGAAACCATTCTTTCTTGGTCAATGATGCTTTTTATTCTTCTGCTGTTCGGTACCGTGGTAGACGTTGGATCTATTGACAGCTTTCTCCTTGGTGGAAGCGTAGGAGATTGAAGGTGCAGGCGGTGCTGGCGGCATATAATGAGTAGAGATCAAAACGGTAGCAAGTAGATTGCAACTAAGCAGGCACACAAGTCGGGCGAGTAGTAGTGTCTACGGGTCCTACTATGAAATATTGACAGGTATAGGAACATCTGTTCCAAATACTACGAAGACAGATCGATACATGGAAAAGGGAACTTGGGAAGAGATGGCTTACTATGGCGTTACTAGACATCCATACAGTTAGGCCCAGTTCGGGGAGGGCGGTTCGCCACGCACGGGAACCGGCCTGTCAGCCCCTAACGTATTTTTCACGCACTAGTACTTGCCGTAGTAGCGCCCAAGTAATACTACGGCTACTAGATGGGAACAATATCAAAGAGTATTTGGGCTTTATATTCAGACATAAGAGGTTCGGTAAGCAATAGTATTAGCTTAGAAAAGAGCAAATATTCATAATACTCAAGTCATCCAGAAACTATCTACATAAACGCAGTGGGAAGGGAGGGAGTGTGGACGGCGATGGGATGATTTGATGGTGCTTCGGGTGTCGTTTTGCCATCATCATCATCACCGCTTTAGGTCAGCCTTCCGACTAGTAACAACTAACAACAGCAAGTCGTCGCAGCAGCCAACACGACTTGCTCGCTATTAATTTAGGCCACGGCTCCCCCCTCTGTCTCTCTCCCACTTTTGCGAAACTCCCCCCTTTACCCTTCCTATCGAAAGCAGGGCCGAAATCATGTTATCTGAGCACGCCTATCATCATATTTCGTCCTTATGACCCCGATCTGCTCCCCCTCCGTCAATTATTGTTCTTCCTTCCCTGGCAGTCAGGCCCTCGTCCGCTGCCTCTGACAACCCCCCCCCCTCTCTCTCTCACTCTGCCTCTCTCCCTTCAGCGTAATGCTCAATACCTGATTACCACCCATCTTGCCCCCTCCCCACTGGACGGGTAAATGGGGTAATTTTTCATGAGGCTAGCAAGCCATGGAGGATCCCCAACTAAACTAACCAGCATCTTTCGGGGTTTTTTGATTTTGATTCTGGATTCGGATTTCAATTTTCCTTTCCAAAATCATCAGTCCTGCTCACAGACCATTCCCTTCTCTTTTTCCCCTTCCAGCCCTTTCTCCCCTTTTCCCATTAACCTGCCGGAACAACCCTTCACGGTGGACGATACCTCATAAATCTCTGGGGGACCCCGGTGACTCTGTCACATAACTCTCTCTCATTGCTCTCTTCTCACCTTTCTCTCTCCCAGCCCACCAGATCCTCCGGGTACGATATCCTCGGATATTGCATCCACCGGGGCCTCGTGACGGTGACTTGGGCTTGCTTTCGTTTCACTATATGACTGACAACTTTTCCATTCTCCTGGGACTACAGCGCCTTCGACGGACACTTTAATTCGGTGTGGCTTCACTGTGAAGCATGCAGCCGCTCGTCGGTGTTGCCGCCTGGAGCCAGGTACAATAAGCGACCAAAGATAACCAGTTGATTTTGCTCATCACTTGACATTGCTCTGATGCTAACTAGTTTTCTCGTGACTAACATTATCCTTTTGCTTTGCTTTGCTTTGCTTTGCTTTTCTACTTTCTTTCTTTCTTTCTTTCTTTCTTTTCTATATTTATCTGGATATCACCGGCCTGTTGCTTTTACTTCGTCTGCATTGTTTCCTGACCGCTAGGACGGCTAGACAACGCATGCATGCGTTGTAAGGCGGCTTCACTGACCTACGACAGGCGAGACTTTGGCCCGAAAGTGCTGCTAAGAGATCCACAGCCAAGTGAAGTCTGGTTTTTCCCTCCCCTTGATTTTGTTTCCGTCTGTCCTTTCTTTTTTTTTTCTTTTTTCTTTTTTCTTCTTTTTCGTTTCCACTCCGTCCTTCACAATGCTGGCATTGGGTATGGGTATTGGAGACTTGAGTCTCCTTTGCCTCCCGGGGAAGCCTGGGATGTGCCTGGATGGAGAGTGACTCTGTCTCCCTCTCTCTCTCTCTCTCTCTCTGTCTCTGATAACAGTCAGATTGGTATTTCCACCCGCTATGCCCGAATGGGACTTGGCATGATGTCTACCCCGATTGGGGGCTGAGAGGCACTGCTCCTGCCGGAACCAGACAAGTGGGATTCCCCACCCGAGGTTCCCTCAAGGCAGCAGTTTCGGTGCTGCCTGAGCCCTCAGGTGTTCACCATGGATTGCCAGAGTCTCCAGGCTAGATGGTCAAGGGTTGTTGCCAGGTAAGAAAGAGTGCCTTCAGTCTGCTGTGGTTCCTCTTCCCCCCCCCTTCTGGGAGCTCAGTCTGGGTTGGCGTGGGTTCGTTTCCGGCCGGCCTCGCAATCTTGCCTTTTTTCCTTTGGTTCCCCATGGTCTCCCTCCCCCCCCCCTCCCTTTCGTCCCCTCGAGCTTCCAATTCGTTCCTCGACCGGCCTGTCCGTCGTCGGTTCTGTCCCTTTCGCTCTTCCACGATTTCCCCCCCCCCTCATTCTTCAATTCTGCCGTGTGGATTATTAACCTTCCCCAACGGGGGTTACAAGGGTGAAATCTCCCCCCAAAAGAAAAACATAAAAAAAGGAAAGGGACGAAAATTACAGGCAAGGGAAATTTAGGTGCAAACCATCTCGAAGCTGTTCCCTAAGCACACTCACCAACCCAGACATCGGCTCCCCCAGAACCTGGACGGGTGGGAGAAAAAATTCCACGCCATTCCCTTTTCACTCTGGGTCTTGGACGCGCCGCTTGAATGGCCCATCCGTGGCTTTAGCCTCTCGCTCGCTCTCGCTCGCTCTCTCTCTCTCTCTTACGCTCTCCCTCCCTCTGATCCTCGCTTCCTCTCTTCTGCTCTCCTTTCTCCCTCTCTCGCTTGCTTGCCCTCGCCTCTTCCCGATTCACCTTCTCGTGTCTCGACTCTAATCCTCCCTCGCCCACCTTTCCGTCATCTCATTCACCTCTTCCCTCCCGACCTTGTCTTCCTTTCCTTGTCCTTCTCCCCCTACTGCTGACCATCCTTCCGAGCGTCATCCTCCTTGATCCCTCCACCTTCTCTACTCTCCTTCTCACCTTCCAGCCTCTCCGTTCCTCCATGCGATTCGTGGTCCGTCCGCCTTCTCACAATCATCGGCTACCGATCCTCGATTTCTTACTTGCCCACGGTCGCACGCGCCACCGAGGAAGACGACTTTACTGAGACTTGGACCACTTCGTCCCATTTCGAACCTGGTATCCCTATACGGTCTTTCGCAGTAATACGATCCTCCTATCGCCGAGCAACCTCGATCGGATTTCCTACTTTTGCGGGCTCATTCCTTTCCGGTTCATTCCATCGATAAAGAGGGTGGCACATTGTGGACTTGATCACCTGCTTCATCATATTCTAAGGTCGACCATCCCTTTTTGTCACTGTGGACTGTCGTGAGAGTTTAAGCCAGGCGACGACTACCAGTGAGCAACAGGTGATATGCGTGCTGGGTTTTGACAGGTTCCCGTAAAACCGTTCGTCCCCTCGAACCCTCAACAGCGCTTTTTTTTCTGTTCAGCTTAAGAGGGGGTATTCTGTCGGATTATGACAGATACCTCCCCAGTCGCCATCACGCATCCAACCACGGAGCCCCCTTCGGTCACCGTCCCTCTGAACTCGCCCATCGTAAACGGCGCTGTTTCTGACTCGGTCGCCCCTGACGAAGAAGAGCCGTACACCATCAAGTGCATCTGCGCTTTCGAGGATGACGATGGTAATACGGTCTTCTGCGAAGGGTGCGAAACCTGGCAGCATATTGAATGCTACTACCATGGCCGGGATGTGCCAGAAGTCCATAATTGCGTGGAATGCGAGCCACGTTCCCTCGATGGCCGGCGCGCCACGGAACGGCAGAGGCGCCTCAGAGAACAGAATGACGGCGGTGACCGGAAAGCGAAACGGTCCGGTGCGAAGAGTCACAAGAAAAAGGTCAAGGAGCATGGTGATCAGGTAAACGGCTTTCATCACCGGTCAGAATCCAACACCCGGGATCAGCCCCTTGCGAAGAAAGTCAAGACCAATCATCGTTCCTCGGGGTCGGTGAGTTCCGTGTCTAATGCACCCAACTTGCCCTCTGATGCGCGCAAGCGGGCAGCACCCTCAATGAGCCCGACCAAGACATCAGGGCCTTCCATTCCTTTGTATTCGCACGAGTTTCTTCATCTTTACGACCAGGGGAAAGATTATGCCAACATAGACAGCAACCTGTTTGTCAATCTGCACCTGGCGGCGGATTTCGCTGCCTGGGTCACGGAGCCGGATGCTGTTGCCCGTATTGCGAATGGGCGCTCTCCAAAAGAAATCTTCACGTGGTCTGGTGCAACACTCGACAAATCACGCTGGCCGACATTGTCTACTGAAACGATCACGGACTCGAGCATTGAGGTGGAAGGTCAACATCCAACTTGGAAAATCCTCAAGACTCGCGATCGTGTGGGCAAAGACGAGATTGTCGGTGAAATTACAGGCAAGCTTGGTTTCTTACGGGACTATTGTCTTGACCCCAGTAATCGATGGCAAGAGCTTCGTCATCCTGAGCCCTTTGTCTTCTTCCACCCTCAGCTCCCGATTTACATCGATAGTCGACATGAGGGAAGCGTGCTCCGCTACGTGCGGCGCTCATGCCGGCCGAACGTTACCATGAAAACTTACATCACGAATCAGGTAGAGTACCACTTCTGCTTCGTTGCGAAGGAAGAGATCGCTGCGGACTCGGAAATCACGGCCATGTGGTACCTAGATCCTCAACTCTTTGAGTCCACCAATGGTATAGTCAAGCAGGAGGCCACTGACAGCGCGCACGACGCGCCTGCGATCTGCATCAGTAATGTCCTCGCCCACTTTGGTGGATGCGCCTGTGTCCCTCCCGCGAACTGTTTGCTGTCTAGCGTTGATCGACGACGTCACCCAAAGTTGATGGATGCGAACGCGAAACAAGCGAGTGCTAAGCGAAAGAAGACAAAACCCAAGGCGAATATCTCTCCGCCTGCCACCACAAGCCGGGCGGGTAGTGAGACCACTAAGAACCTTGATGAGGATGATCAGGCTGACAGCCGTTCTGCATCGGGCTCTATCCGAGGTCAAACTCGCAGTCGGGATCTCACCCCTACGTTACAGACTCCTACCGAAGCGTTCTTGCTCGGGGAATCGGAACTCTCGGCTCGAGACAAGCGTAAGATCGCTGCAGCAGAGAAGAAGTTTCAACAACTGGAACAAGACCAAGCCTCACACAGAAAGAAGAAACGGGCTAGTGGCCACTCCAGCCATGGTCCGCGCGAACGCCAGTCACATTCTCCCCCCTCGGGCGGACCTGTGGGCTCGCTTCCAGGAATGCGTCACGGATCACCGCGCAAGACATCCGGCAGTCACAGCACACCTAGGCGGTCTCCTCTGGGGCGTCAACAATACGTGGATTCCGCTATACAGACCGAGCCGGATGCTAGCGATGGTGTGGTTTCACCTTCTCTGCCCTCCCCTCGTCGACCCTGTTTTGTGCCCCTAACTCAACGTTTACTGAAAAGATGCTATTCCGATCGCATCAAGCTCGAGCAAAGCAGCCCATCGCCTGTCACTCCTCGAAGTACTCTTCTTGAGCATTCTGACTCTTCACCGACTTCCACGAGCCCCCATGAAGCAGCTCCATTAACAGCCACAACCCCCAGCGTATCTGCCGACAACCAAGATACAGAGATGAGGGATATTGCTTCGCCTGTGGAGACCTCGCCATCCCTGTCCGTTACACATTTCGATGCATCTCCCCTATCTGGACGGGGATCGGTCAAGCCGCCCTTGCCGCCTCCCTGGCCATCAACTGCAGCGCATAACGCTCGGATACCTAGTAATGTTGTGCATAAACAGCGTAACACTGATCTCCACGTTCCGCTGCCTCCTGCAACGCTACCTCCGCCCCCTTCAGCCACCAGCCCAGGGTCCACAGCCCCGTCGGCGTTGTCCTCACCTTCAACTGTAACTGATGTGACTTCGCAACCCCACGTTCCCACCACACCGGTGTCTGGCGTGGCAGGCCCTAGCCCAGTGAAAAAGAAGCTCAGTTTGGGTGACTATCTCATCCGCCGCGGCACCATGACTACGCCTACGTCTGAGAAGACTCAAGCTCAGGCAACCGCAATGCTACCGCCCACACAACCCGTGCCGCCTCCGGCTAGCCGTGATGGAGCTGCTGCGGGGCACAACTCTTCTGCGGAGGCCAAGCCAGAACGCGGCCCTCAGGATGTCACCATGAAAGATATTCGCGGAGCTACGCAGACTTCACACATACCCTCAGCGACGTGATGATCTGATGCTATCTCATGTGGACTACTCCCCTCAAAGCCGGGGGTTGCACAATATAATACGCGTTGATTACTTTCTTTGTGGAACAATTTCTGCGAATTTGTTCTTTACTTCATTCCCCTTTTCTTTCTTTTGCTTTAACTTGTACACGATGGGAATTGACAGGCGTTTCAGCCGGCGGAGCGGTTTTGATTTGACCGGCGTATTCGGCGTGTTGGAAAGGGAGCGGGTTCAGGGAAATACTCCGGATGGGTTATGGGCATGGGAAATGGTTTTTAGGAGGACCTTGACGGGTCATGATGTGAGCACCTGCTTCACGATTGTCATTATTACTGTCAGAACTTTATTTTCTCTTTCTTTCTTTTCCCTTTCCATTCCGTTCTCCTCTTCTATTACTAGGATATTTGTGACATGACTTTCCAAGCACCGGAGCTGACGGGCTCCACGGAGTGGATCATGACGAATGAAATTTTTCTTGAATGTTAATCGATGGCACCGATCCCGTAGTTGAAGGCGTCGATACAGCTCTGAAGTCAAGGTAGGGCACGCATCGCTCGGCTGAATCCGAGTCATCTTGGGTGACGTCAGTCAAGGTCCCATTGTTGCTCTACATAAGCTTTGGGAGGCTTTGGAGAAACCGGGTTCTGGATATGAAGGAAGGGAGAGCCCAGAAACCGACTCGGGAGTGGTTAAGTGCTCCCGAACATGCAGGCAGGGACTTACTTCTTGGCCGATCAGACTCTCCACTCCCATGAAATAATACCCCTGGCTAATGACTACTTCGCCTGAGTTCTTTCCTTTTCGAAACAAGACTTCATGCGACAACTCTTTCATCATGGCGAAGACTCGATGTGCGGGCCGGCAGGCGGATAAAAAATTACCAGGGAGGCGCGTCTTGGGCCACGAGACTTTTCCCGCTTGCGCCCCCCACCGAAGAGTCGAGCCTATTGTCTAGACCTTGTTTACTCGGTATACCAGGGCCGGCATAGCTGCAGGAGTCGTGTTCAGCGATGTCTCGGCCGTTCCTGGACCAGTGATTAATGAGTCTCGTGGTGCCACCGCGACATCTCTATCACAATGTGCCGCGTGGGAGAATGCTCTCGTCATTATTGGGTCCTTTGTCCCATGGGGATATGGTAGGGAGGAATAGCTCTAAGCCGCTCCAATGGACTGATGCACAACATCAAGATCATGTCTCTCTTAACTTGAGTAAAACAGAGGTGCGGCTGAGTATTTGTCCGTCAAAAATGCTGACAGTGATAAGCTAATCATTTCAGTAAACGAGTTAGCAAGGCTGAGAGATGCCGGTTGTCATATTAGCTCGGGATACCGGGAAGTATGCACACCCTACATACTAATGATCTATTATTGTTGTTATGAGTCTGGATTGGGTGTCCAGACAAGCTCATCTAGACGCTATCCGGCTCCACCGGCCCACTGCGAATGACGAGGTCGGCTCGTTGGTTGCCTGATATCATCCCATCGGATGACATCAAGACAAGGTTGACTGTCGGCTTTCGGGTTTGCCGAACCTGACAGCCAAGTACTGCTCCTATAATAACTCTGAAAGAAGTATATATTCTTGTACTGATGCCCGGGATGGTACCTGGTTGATTCAGACAATTCTACAATCACTATCTCTTCCATATAAAGCATTCCGTTCCGCTTCTCGATCTAAATTTAGCATATACATCATGGTCGTTAACATCACGGCCGAAGATCCTCAACCCACCATCCACAGCCACATCAATGGCACTACCGAAGAGATTCTGGATCGGCTCTGTGTCACCGAGCTTCTAAAGGGATGGCCGGTTTACCGAGATGCCTCTGAATGGGCCCACTACCGGAATTGTTTCGCCGAACAGGCTTACATCTTTACTAGTAAGTCCATCATATTTCGCCTCTTTGTCTCCTTTACTCTCTTAAATCTCCCCTCGAAAACATCGCACTGACATGGTTTGCTCAATCTACAGCATGGAGCGGAGGCATGCCCATCGACGAATTCATCGAAGTCTCTAAAAAGGGCCGTCGAAATGGCGACCACATCATGCACCGCGAAAACGGCACCCTCGTCGAGCTGAACTCCAAGACAGGCCGTGCTGTAGGTAAAATGAAGGCCACCATCACGCAGCGCTTCTCGTTCGATGGCGTCGAATTCGACGTCGAATGTGACTGCCGCTTTATCATGTGGTGCCAGAAGGATCCGGCCGGATGGAAGGTTCACTACAAGCGCTTGTTCTACGAGAAGGATAAGATCATGCCGGTGGACGGCAAGCATGTGCCTGACTACTCGGAGGAGGAGCTCAAGCCGTATCCGTATGGATACAGGTATTTGGGTGCCTCTCAGGCGAGACTGGGGCATAAGATCAAGTTGGATTTGCCGACTATGGAGGATAATGATAAGTTCCGAGGGATGTATGAGGCTATGGAGAAGTGGTTGAGGGGGGAGGATATTAAGGAGACGTTGGGGATTCCTGTATAAATTTATTGGGACGATAGGAAGGTTCTCTTGTATATAATTTATTGATATGAGGACAATCATTATGACGATCGTTACGATTATGAAGACTATATATGATTCGTCCATGTTGAGGGTTGAGAGATTGCGGGGTAGTCATACTCGGGCATCTTTCTTCTATCTCTCTTCGACCCTTTTCGCCGTGCCCATCGACATTAGCGAGTCTCAAACATGGCAGCCCATGAGTTGGCCGAGTTAAGGTCTGGAAGCCCCTCATCATCTCATCTACCCATCGAAGAGTCCAACAGCTCCGCCCGCCCTGAACTTGAGCAAGTCCCGCTGCCACCGGTGGACCAGGGCAAAGGTGCCTGGTTGGTTCTCGCTTCGTGCTGCTTAATTCAGTTGCCAGTTTGGGGTACGCATCGATATACCCAGCGGTAGTCATATGTCTGCTCATGCGCAACATTCAGGGTTCTCTCTTGTTGCCGGTATCTTTCAGGAATACTTTGAGACGCATAATGACCTCGAGGGAGGTAAAGGAGGTCTGGCCATCATGGGGACTACGGCAACGGTGATATCGCCTGTTATTACCATTATGTTCACCTCCATTCAGCTGACATTGTTCTCCTACAGGGAATCCTCTATCTCCTGTCACCTGTGACGTTCACGCTCTTGACCCGCTACCCACATCTCCCAAAGTCCTGTGCGTTTGTCGGACTGGCTCTCAGTGTCGGCGGCTCGCTGCTCTCTTCTTTCGCCACAACTGTCTGGCAGATGATTGTGACGCAAGGTGTTATCTGTGGCCTTGGGAATGGCCTCGTCTTCAGCCCGACCACGCTCTATCTAGATCAGTGGTTCGTTCGTCGCAAAGGTCTTGCATATGGAATCATGTGGGCTGGTAAGAGTATCTGCGGTGTAGCTCTGCCATTCGCGACAAGTGCCTGTCTTGACCGATTTGGAGCGAGGACAACTCTAAGGGCTTGGACGGTAGTCACGGTTAGTCGTCTGCTTAGCCCACTAATCTTCATAAAACTGACTAGGCATCGTAGCTGCTCACTCTCGCTGTGACCCTTCCCTTCATTAGGCCACGAATTCCCCCAGCCCCCTCTACCACTCCGCAGCCTCTGAATCTCGCTTTCTTGAAACTGGTCACGTTCTGGATGCTCCAGCTCGGGAACATCATTCAGAGCTTCGGCTACTTCTTGCCCAGCACGTATCTACCGTCGTACACAACAACCGCAGCTGGCCTGTCAGAAACCACAGGGACTCTCCTAGTGGCACTCTTCAACGCCACATCTATTGTAGGTGGAATCGTCCTGGGGTCTCTTTGTGATCGCTTCGCCGTCAGCAATATCATGTTGCTCTCCTCCGTAGGCTCTGGGGTGTCTGTCCTGCTGTTCTGGGGCCTGTCAACTTCATCCCCGTCTGCAAGCTTTCCCCAGGCCGCCATCGCCCTTCTAGTTCTTTTCTCGATCACGTACGGATTCTTTGCCGGAGGTTTCAGTTCCACTTGGTCGGGTGTACTCACTCAAGTCAAGCGCGAGGTTCCCTCGCTGGAGACCGGATTAGTGTTCGGACTACTAGCTGGGGGAAGAGGCATTGGTAGCGTTATTAGTGGTCCGCTGAGCTCGGCTCTCATGCAGCAGGGTTCCATCACCGGGCAAGAAAACGGCGAGATCGGGTATACCACTGACTATGGGGCGTTGATTCTATTCACTGGCGTGACAGCTATCTTTGGAGGATGGAGCTGGATGTGGCATCACCGACAACTCTGCCTGTGTTAATAACATCATTCACTAAGCAATAGCATTTATCTGACTCAATAAATGATCTCCTCTTTAGAAGATTTTCGACCGTCCGCGCATCTAAACATGTACAGGGCGGACGAGATCACGTGCACTCCGCAGTTCCTGCGCATCTCGAAAGCTACGAGTAACACCTCCCCCAACCTCATCCATTGCTCAATCTCCAGCATACAAATTCAAACTCCCGGAGCGGTAGCATCACCTACCAGTCCTCCACATTCACATTCACACACGCCATCATGGCCACCGATCCCTCCCTGCAAGATCCTCTCCTCTCGCTCCGTCGCGCCATCGCAGCCGGCAACCTCCCCACGCCAACAACCTCCAGCGACCTCTCCGACCAAAATGCGACCGACGACCTTGCAAAAGCCACCCATCTCTACTTCCAACATCCCCTCCCTCAAACAATCCCCCTCACAACACCCACCCGCTTCGTCTCCAGCTCCTCCGACTCCGCCGTCGACCTCCGCAGTATCTTCTTCGCGTGGCAGAAGAAAGATGTCGCCATTCCAGAGTACATTGCCTCGGCGCAGGAGCTTAACGAGTCGCTGAAGCAAAAGGAGCGCAAGGAAGGCGAGGAAGAGGAGAAAGTTCAGAACTTGGTTTTCGTCGAGCGCTTGGATCTTCTGACTTGGCTGGAGGGCGCGTCTGATGAGAGTGAATACATCAAGCCGTTAGAGGGTGCGGCTGCTGCGGCCGCGGCTGCGGCTTCCGCTGCTGCTCAGGCGCAGGCGTCGGCAAATATTGCTTCGGGGGCTGCTGGTGGAGTTTCTGCTGTGCCGAGTGGTGCTCCTGGGGGTGGTGCTGCTGCTGCGCAGACTCAGCAGGGTAGGGCGGCCAAGGTCATTGATCCTAGGTTGCAGGAGATTTATAACGGAGAGCGGAAGATGGGGGATCGGAATAGTGTGCTACGGGGAATCAAGCCGACGGTATGTTCATGCACAGGGGGAAGAGGCTCTACAGTATGCTAATAAGGGATCAACGTAGGACTTCTCTCACGTCCGCAAAACCGCCGAATCTATGCTTGGACGCAACCGCTCCCGGCCGGGACAATACCCTGCTGGCGTGAAAGCCGGCAGCAAGCCGCAATCCATGGTGGTGCCGTCTCCATCGGCCGGCCTGTCCCAGCCACGCAAGGCAAGCAAGACGCAAGACCCCATCATTCTCCTCTCGCCCTCGGCCTCATCGCTCATCCGCATGTCCAACGTGCGCTCCTTCCTGCAGGATGGTGTCTTCATCCCTCCCGATCACCCTACTCTTTCGATGTCCAACTCCAATATCCTCTACATCTCTCGTCCGCTGCGCATGCACTCGGACCCGTCCAGCTCCTCTCTTCGTCCTGGCGGTGGCAGCTCCTCGCAAGTCACGTCCCGCAAACCTACACGCTTCATCCTTGTCGATAGCACGGCCAACTTCCGTCCGGATTACTGGCAGCGTCTGGTTGCCGTATTCACGACGGGTCAGACCTGGCAGTTCAAGTCATACAAGTGGTCTTCGCCACCGGAGCTCTTCAAGCATGCCACAGGTGTCTATGTCGGATGGCGCGGAGAGGATATTCCTCGTGAAGTGAAGAGCTGGGGCAGAGGAGTGCAGAGCTACGCGGTCGAGCGCTGGGACGAGAAGGGAGGAGCCCACGGGGCGGGCCGGTGGCGTGATCGGGAAGTGGTCGAAGGGATCTGGACAGCGATCGAAGAGGGAATGAGACTGCGAGGCTGGGGATCAAAGTAGAAACTACCCACCGTGTGTGTGCGTGTGTGTGTCATGTTTCACTTTTCCCTCTCATCACTCTTCAACCCCAAAATTAGACCTACCGGTCCGTGCGAACAGGAGCAGCGATGAGGGATAATTCGAAACACGCTTCGTTTCAATCATTCAAACACTCTATACTCTTTGCAGTTTGCCCTCCGTTGTCAAACTTTATGCCTTCGCGCCGAGCGGACCCCATTTATTGATTCCCACGGGATCCTGTATCAATACCACCAGCTTCCTCCTTATCTTACCCACCTCCTTACCTCTCTCGGCAAACTATCCGGCTAAAAAAAGCCGCAAGATTGACAGGAAAATAAGAAAGATCCATTCCCCTGACATTGAAATGGACATGCCAGCCCCCAAAAAAATAAACTCCGATCTTGCTTGGCTCGGAAATTGCGCTCCCCGAATCCGGAGTTAACTCCGGGCATTGGAAACAAGCGAACTTAGTATCTATCTATCTACGGGGGTTGGGTTCTGTTGATCTTTACATCCTTGAACCGCTATCTTCATTATTTACAATTTCTTTCTATCTATTTACTGCATATGTCATGCTAGCTAGCTAGTTGTTTGTTACGTTCGGGTTTTTTCAAAAGGCGTATGTTATGTATGTATGTATTGGTGGCATTTCCTTTTTCTGATTCTGGCGTTGCGTTACTTTTCCTGCCCCCTTTTTACTACATACTACTACTTAGTTATCTATGGTAACATACTTCGGTTATACATGGTGTATATTCCTACATAGAGGTACTTTCTAGGCTCTGCTGTCTTGTTTTTTTTCTTTCTTCTATTTATATGCTCTATTCCATAATGCTACTCCCTTCACTACTTTTACTTTAATAGTTATTGATAAGAAACCGTACCTATCTCTACTAGTGAAAGTAATGAGCAGCTAACTAGTAGATACCTGCATGCATGCACATGCAATAGAAGATACCATAACCTGCAACACTCAAAAATCAGAGAATAAAATAAAATAAATAAGTAAAGACATGCCAAAAAAAAGAGGTAAAAAAGCCGAAAGCTGTCAGCACCATACATACATAAGAAAAACACAGCCAAGCACTTTCAACGAATTACCTACCTAATCAGGCAACATCCGTACAAACACTACATACATATCACTACAATATGGTATAGATGAAAAACTGTGAATATATGATTTTTTGAAAGTGTCAAAGCTACTACTAGGTCATGTGGCCCAAGTAGCAGTTGTTGTTGCTGTTGTTCACATCATCATCTCGTGTTTAACTTAAACCACGTGTCAGCCATGTGCGTGCGTGCGCAGTTAGTTCAGCCAGTTATGTTCTACCCTTTATGTACTAGGGATGTATGTAAGCAATGGATGTATGGTAAGAATTGGGAACGGATTACTTTTAGTATACTACTAGTGCCTTAGTCCTTAGTGCACTGGGTGGCTAAAGGATTGAGTGTCTGATCGATGAATACGAGATCTGGCAGTTGGGGTCGGGTTCGAATTGATTACCTGATTAGGTAGAATTAGTGCGGAGAAAGGGTTCATTGGATTTACTACAACTCCGTACTCTATGTCTAAATATGTATGTTATAGCTGTTGCCTAAAGTTTATGGAAGTAGATGCTTGTCTTGAATATTTATTTCTGTTCTTAGATTTCTCTGATCGTGAAGAGGACAACCCTCGCATATTCAATCAGGTAGATAGGTAAAAGGAAAAAGCCACACTCGCTGTACCCTGAAAATGCAAATCAAAATGCGCGTATCCATGCTCGATGCAGGGGACGTATGACAACATACACATCAACTCGGAACAAAGGAAATAACATATATAGGAAAAGGGAAATAGATCCGGAAGAAAGAGAGATATAGAAAAGGAGATCTTGAGAGAGGAAAATTCATGCGAATATGATGCAAACAAGAAAGGGAAAAAGAACCGAGAACTAAAACGCCTCTCTAATGCTGGAATACTTCTCGTGTTTCAGCCTTTCTCCTCTTCAGTCTCCGTCCATGCGTCACGGTTCACAGATGTATAAAAGGAAATTAGGAAAAAAAAAAAAAAGAAAAGAAAAAAGGAAACAGGGGGTGAAAAAGGAATCGGTGTATTAAAATGGTTCAGTTCCGGCATCTCTATCACATGATCCATAGATCGTAACGTCTGTCATTGGTCGTGCGGACTTGGAAGCCCCATGGAATGCCCTGTCGTCAATGGCAAGCGGCGTGGCGGGGACCAAGTGGCATTTGAAGAGAAAGAGATTATAGAAACGGAGGAGCGTTCGTATCGGAGACGCATAACGTGTATCATGTCGTGTCAGGAGGTTTGGGCGTGGTCCCAAACTTTTGGTGGGGAGGGCATGTTGGCTAGACCGGTGCCTTGTCGACATGGGGCAGGCAACTCAGATCAAGCCAAAAAGAAAAATCATGTTCAAGTCGTTCCATCAATTAACACCGCGCTGTGCAGTAAGAGTGTGTTTCATCTTGGATCGGCGAAGTCCGAGAGCAAGCCACGTGCCGTCAGATCTTTTAGTAATCACCAAGGTGAAGGCCTGTTCGGACAGGATTGGGATCCCTGCATGACACACATGCTGCCCCTATCATGACCGTGCTGAGCGGCTCGCCGAGCGCTCCGGGACTGGAGCGGGAGTGGGCGAGTAAGCCCGGGGGGCACCAATCAAGTCCACGTCATGCTCCTGAAGGATGCTGGCACACTTCGGATCACGCAGAAACTTGGGAACGGAGTCCTATTGCGGGTTAGCTTTCAATGCTGGAGACGGATTGCTACAAGATAAACGTACACTTGACATCAGCTTGAAGACCGAAGTCTGAGCCATCTCAAACAGATGCACCACTTCCTGCAGACTCTTGAGCATCGACTCATCGTCACCCACGGCCTTGGTCATACGGCTTGCCAGGCTGTTGCGCAGCGCGTGATCGATGTTAAGTTCACAAGGGGATCCCGGTGCCAGGAACGCGTTGTAGAGACCTATTCAGGTTTGTTAGTTGCTAGTCAAAGAAGAATCATTGTCATTGAGAGCGCTTACCATATGCTGCAGCCAGTGTCTCACGGACAGCATCCGGCTTTCTAAACGTGCCCAGCTTCTCAGCCTTGTGATAGGCTGAAGTGAATTCTGACACATCGAGGTAGAACGACAGGTTCTCCTCACAGAGGGAAAAGCGAAGGAACTCGCGGAACAGGAGTCGTAGGGCAGGGTCGTGGAGAATGTGGTTCAAACGGGCATTGTTGGAGTCCTTCGGGATGCCACGATTGTCGTACATGGTAGTTTCACGAGACTTGTCCCGTGCGATCCACCCACAAACTCGCTGACCCCGGTCCGTGATGCCGTAGATCGCATTCTTCGAAGGCTGGAACGCAACTATCGAGTCGTCTAGTTGGTTTATGAAGCGGTCTTCCTGCAGCATCGTGATCAAGCCGTACTTGACGAAAAGCTCGGCAATGAGAACGGTCTCACGGCGCTCAATGGTGGTGGAACAATCCATCAACCAATCAACCGCGGCTTTTCCAGTGAACGTGTTGATGACAATCTTGTCGTTGATCTTGCGCTCCTTCGCCATCTTCACACCAACCAAGCCATTCGAGTAATCACTAAGGGAATCCGAATCTGAGGTGGAAATGCTGCTCTTGACGTTAGGACCGTCCTGCCCCGCAAACCGGCGGAAGATGACTTCAATGGTCGCTCTGTCGTGTGACAGCTTGTCTGTATCGGTATCGCGCTCCAGGTTGACCAATTGCATTGTGTTGCGGGGCGACTCCAGCACGTCAATCACATGACGAGCAGTGATACCGTTTCTCTGGCAGAACCTTTGCAAGATATTGATTCCCTTCGGCGTGAGCTGGTACAACGCGCCCTTCAACGGAAATATTTGTGCCGATTTGCCATCCACGGCCTCGATGAAGCGGGCATCGACAAAACGCTGGCATACTGAACGAGCCATTTCCTTAGCCATGGAGAAGGTAGTGGTTGTTGTGGTTGTAACGATACGCGATGGGTCTTTAGGGTCGGGCATGCGGTTCGACTGAGAGAACTTAAGAGAGCCGAGATTGTTGATGGCTTCTTCCGAGGTGAAGGAGTGATCATATTTCGTAAAACGCACGCGATGCGAATCCAGTTTCAAGCTGACCATCAATGTCGAGAACAAGTCCATAAAATCCTAAAAGACCACTTGTGTTAACAGACCACCCTTGATCATAATCCCAAACTTCTATTTTTCATCCCGCCCTGTCGGCCACTTTAGCGCACAATTGGGTCACCTTACCTTTGTGAATGGACGGTCATCCTCCGTCATACGCAGTAACCGCGAGGACGTTTGATGCATCTTGGCGGGAGATACGGTAGGTCCGACTTCGGGTAGTTGCTCGAGTGGGGACGGGGCACGCTGAAGGGTGTAACGGCGCCTCTCAACAGAACTGGTCTGTTGCTCAACCACGGCCGGGGACGAACGGCTAGTAGCGGCGTCGAAGGGCGCAGGACTGGACCGTTCACTACTGGCGCTACCGTCCGACAATGGCGGAGTTAACGGCGTGGCACCTGGCGCTTCGCTGACGCTGACCTGTGAGGCCTTGCGCGAGTGTTTCGACAAGCTTCCCGATGAGGCGGAGGAGCGGAGGGGGTAATTCGGCGCTCCTATGGAGGAGAGGTTCGCGAGGGCGTTGGAAGTCTTCTCACGAGCTAACGCAGCAAACGAACGGCGATTGCGACGTGAGATAGATCCAATTACTGAACCTGTGAATCCGGTTGAGTTGTTGGTGGCGGTGGTGGTGGTGGTAGTAGTGGCGGGTTGAGAGGGGGCGACAACAGCGGAGGGTGCGGAGTGGTGCTGTAAGGAGGGAGCGGAAGCAGTACGAGGGCGTGTTTCAACCGGGGAGGTAGAGACCGGGATAGGATCAACAGACGGGGAGATTGAGAGTAAAGAAGGTGAGAGGGAGGAGGAGAGTCTTGGTCAAGATGAGCGGAGGATATGGTTGGCATTGAATAGTGCGAACCAAG